TTTTTCCCTTTTTTTTTTTTTTTTTTTTTTTAAATATTTGTCGACGCTCGCTGAATGGATATTGATTTTACTATTTTTAATACCGCCCACTACAGTTCACCACATCAAAAATTTAGTTAAAAGTAAGTGTAATACTTTAAATGCAAATATATCTACTTTACCCTGCAGCCAGCAATGATATTACTTTGGTAAGTCTTCCACGTGGAAACGTCTCGTACTTTTTATCTCGTACTTTTTTTTTATAGTTCAATGAAAATTATAACGATTTTATTAGGCTATAGGTAAACTGGTCAATTCTCATGAACATTTATTCTTTTATCACAGACTCGAGAGGATATTTATTTAAAAGAAAACTATCATCTATCGGAAACAGTACAATAGTACAATATTCGTCTCTATGAAAGAATTCAATGACAAGACATCATACTGTTATGTTAAGTTGAACTAGACTAGGTTAGTCAGCTCACAGATCGGGTAAGCTTTGGTTTGGATAGTTCTTACTCAGTTTGGCGTAATAATTCATCGAAATGTGGGCGCAGGGCAACCTTTGGCTACGGGAAATCGTGTCTAGCTGCCAGCGCCAGGAGAAGGTCCTTAAAGTGGCTGCGGTGTGTTAATTTAACTGAGGTTGGGTAAGTAGACAGGGGATGCACAGGGGAGGATACTTTCAACTAACTTGGCAACATTGTAATTCTTCCCAGCTGATACTTGCTAATAATATCTCTTTTTATTCAGACTTTTCTATTTCATAATGCTTTTACATTGATTGACAAGCACAACATTGATTCTACACAATGCACGAACAGTTTGAGCCATATGTCAGCACGAACATTATGGTAATATTTAGTGATTAATTTTTTAAAAGTTTAACAACAAACACTGCCAATACATAGAACTAGTATAATATCAATATAATTAAGTCATTCGATATCATTAATAATAGTTAGGTTTGACGGTGTTAAGGGTAGTATTTATTCTATGGTAATAAATAATGATGCCATGCTCATTTATCATGCGCTGCCTATCGAATAAAGACAACAGCAATATATTATCACGTGCTGCGTATGCATTAATAACAATCTTCAATGTTCGTGTAACGAGGTCAAAAAACGTCGACGACAGCAAAGGAGTGAAATTGCCATATAAGTGAATATTAAGAAGAAGAAAAGGGCCATTTGCGTATATCGTAAAATTTATATTATTTCCCAGCGATTTCTCAGCTAAAGTCTTACGCGAACACATTACTATTGATATACGTGGTTATATGGAAAAATAGAATATTACTATTTACAAGAGATTTTCACGTTCCTCCTACTGCATTGCGTAATACCACGTATTTGGGTGAATAGAAGAATTTTATAAAAAATTGCACTCAAAATATTTTTTTTTTTATTTCGCGTAAAGCATACGATCGAATTAAGGCAGCGAGTAGTGCTTAAGATTTCCGATTCCACGTGTACGAAAAAAAGTCCACGATTACTGTACGAGCAGTGAAACTTTACAAGGTTGTGTAACTCGCTCGAAAATTTTTTAATTGTTATTTGGAGTTTGCAAAATAAAAAAAAATGCATTTTATAAGTACGCGATTATCGCGTTAACTAAGTTTCGTATTGTCTCCGTCTTCGTCATTATAAATTATTTACCGTGAACTTCTGGGGGGGTGGAGGGGGGGTGTCAAGTGCCAGGGGATGTTCGTATTCTAATTTTCCCGTGAAAAGCAAATTGGCCTTTACGAGAGAGTCTCAATTATCGAGATGGCTGAGGGGTTCGGTTATAAATATTTTGATGATCAATCGGGCGACGGGCGAAGAGCTTTAAAAGTTTTATCAGGACGTTACACGGGGCTTCCTTCCGCAGAATCAATTGTCGCCCGTTTGATAAATTACTTTATTGTTTAAACAATCTTTGCGTTAAGCCTGGAGCCATAAAGTCAATATCGTCCGGAAAGTTTGTTTCGTTATTACGTGAAAGGAGATTAATTTTATTTGCTCGATATATTTCATCGCGACAGTGTAATCCCGAGCGTGAATATTATTATTATTGTTCACGGATCATTTCTAAGTAACGTACATACAGGGTGGCGAATATTTGTCGTTCGTGCCGTGGCTGAAGCGTGTACACGTTCATGGTACGAATAAAGGTGACAGAATGACATATGAATGGGGTTTTATTCTCCCCAATCTAGCACCGTGAACACATATGCTCGTCTGGCAATAAGCGGTGACATTGGCAACCCTAGAAAAGGCACCCCGACATTACGCACGGCTAGTAACGGCTAGTAACAACCCCTCGATGGCTTTTATCCCTTTAGAAAAGAAGGCTAATGGCTCAGAAATTATTATACGGCTGACGGAAATCTTCTGGTTCGGCGTGTTGTTATTATTATGGCTGCACTTTTACTCCATGAGAATTCTTTGCTTTGCGAGACTTCTAGGTATTTAATCGTGAATCGCGCCGCTCTAATGCATTTTCACTCGCCGAACGAAATCGAGTAACATTCGACACCCGGGAATCTTTATTGACGTTCAATATCGACGAGTCAGGTTAGCGAATTAAGGCAAGTATTGAATTCGAATAAGCATTCGTTATAACCATTTTAAAAATGTATCCGAATGCAGTCTGCTCGAACAGAGTCCATCTACGTGCACCGGGAATACAATTTCTGGGGAAATTTAGTTCCACTTATGCCATACTGGCGCATATACATATTGGTTCGCTCTTGATCAACCAACGGGGGCGTTATTGACTTGCAATTCTCGCGGACCAATTTAATCCGGTATTGTCCACGAGATTACGTGTGTTATCACTAGTTGGTAATCCTCGATTGTTCCACGGGTACCTGCAGTCATGTTACTGTGCCCGACCTATAAGTCGAATGCAATTATCGTATGGGAATCAAAATTTCAGATTACATTGAAAATGCCTTTAGAAAATTTATACAACGGATCGAGCAATTTTGGGCGTACGAAAGGTTTTCATTTTGATTAACGAAAATGTAATCCGCAATTTATGAAATATATATACAACTAATATTCTCAATAATTATTATTTTTATAAAAATTGTATCTTGCTCGATATACGTCATTATAATAGGCATCCCTATCGCCTGTCATATATATCGTTATTAATTAAAGGAATAATTACATTTAGATACTCTCCGTAACGCAACCGTATTTCTGCGGTCTCATTATTATTTCCCATGTAAAGTGCATTCATAGTATCTGATAATGGCCACGAATAGTGCCACCGAACAACCGTGACTCACAGTATCCCAGGACAATGTTTATGCAACCCCGTTGCAACAATATTGCCTTTCAACAATGCCAGACGTAGAATGCATTTCTTTACTTCTTTCTGCATTTCTCGAAGGTACGCTGCATTACATAAATGCGAGATGCATTTCCAACGAAGCTTACGAGCAGCGTAAACATTTTCAGTCAAATTCAATCTTTTCGCCCTGGCATTAAACATCGTGCAGTTTACCCAGTTCCTTTCTTCCTTGCGCTTCGTAGCGTTATTATGCATGCCCGGTCCCGATGCACCTGAGTTCAAATTAAAAAATACTACTGTCATACCGCGTTGGTTCAGAGATCGAATAACAAATTCACTAGACTGGCCATATCAATAGATTTTCAATAGTCCCTGATACGTGGTGTCTCAGAAATAAAAAATTTCACAAAAGTCGATCCTTCATGCTTCGTTATTAAGTAAAGCCTCGTGCATATCTTCTGAAAGCATATAAAAAGTCCCTTATAATGCCTGTAACGATAAACAATTCTTATGATCTTCTGTAAAATTATCTAATTATTGTCTACAACCTGTTAAAAGTAAAATATCGAAATTACGTAATGTAACGTTACGTCCTTATACCCCCCTATCCTCGATCCTTTTTCCTTCCCAATCATCCATTCTCGATGATTGATACGTCAAGAGCCCCGCATAAGTGTGCATAGCGCACTGTGGATGTGCATAACAGTATCTGAGAGAACTCCTCAAATCCTAGAATTCCTCAAGAATCCTATCGACCTCTCACAGCGACGCCGATAAAGGAAAGAGTATACAGGACCTTTAATTCTCTAATATTGCGTAATTCCCTTGAATCTAGTCACAGCGACAGTCATGAGGATATAATATTAGAAATTATTACATTTAATATTCCTAGAATCCGAAATACAGTCGACAGACTGAAATCAAAAGAAACAAGTGCCCAGACGCTAAGAGCAGGCACGCGCCGAAGACAATAGAAACACCAGTAAGCCGGTACTGGAAGAAAACCGCTAATCGAATCAGTCAAATAAAATCGTAAATGAAAATATTGAATCCAAAAAGCGACGTTCACACCTCGGGTGGATAAAAATCGTTATCCCCACTAGTTTTAACGTAGGCCTATCTAGGATATAAGCAGCGGCTTCCTCGATAGGAAGTCAGTCGGTCCACTCGTATCTATCCAGACGAATCGACAAGACCCTTGTACACCACAAGCCGACAAGAAGCTAGTAAAGATTTGGAAAGTGTAAATTATCAAAAAGCTTGGAGAAAACCAATCCTCTGTTCCAGAGCGAACCAGTGAACAGTATTGTACTGCAAGCTGTGGGAACTCATCCTGGGCAGATCCTGCTCTTGGAAAGCATTGTGTCTCCACCCTGTATCAGGAAATCTGCCATCCTTGTAGATATTCTGCATCGAAGGCATCGTGCCGGAGCTGTCAAAAATCGACCACTACAGAACAACCACACTCCTTAAAAAGCTCAGCTCCCAATATCATTGTGATTAGTAGCTGTCTGAGCATCCCGTAGCTCTTACCAGGCCTAAGGAATCATTGTGATACCCCCTAGTGTCAGGAAGGGCATCCCAATTCCCTCTGCATTCTCCTGCAGGGAAGTTATTGTAATAGAACTGTCAGGATTGCAGATCATTCACAAAAACAACCCACCTTAAAAAGATTCAGCTCCCAATATCATTGTGATTAGTAGCCGTCTGAGTCGAACCCATCCTTAAGATAAGGGATTCAGCAAACGGGGTTCATTGTGATCTCCTGTGGGTACTGAATCATTATCATCCTAACCTTCAACTGGACCACGGTCTTCGGACGCATTGTGCAACTGCTGTATTGTGATTCCAGCTACCTCTTTCCAATCCAAAAGGCTAGCAGAGAGAATAAGCAAACAAAAACACTTCCTGTCGCCTGTGGTACTACTAGCAAGCTAGAGACAATTATAGAGCGTCTGCATGTGTGAGAGAGAGCAAAATAGAATATTAAGGATACCTAGTCTGTAACATATAGGACAATACGTCATTATTATGTTACTTTAAAAACTCCAGTGTCTAAGTTGTTTCTGAAGACGCCTGCCCAATGGACGAACCCTACAAAAAGTCTCGTGATTCCGAAGGCTATAAAATCACGAAACGTCTCAGTACATTGACTGTAGAAATAAAGCGTTGAAGCTGTAATGAATTATTTTATCACTCGCTTATCAGTGCACGACCGCAATTTAATTTGGCTCATTATCGTCCCATTGTATTCCGCTGCATTGAACTGTAGCACGAATGAAATGGAAAAAAAAAAAAATGATTTAAGATCAAATTGACAATGCCGTCGTTGGACACACGAATTTTCCATCGATGATTCGCAGCTGCGAGTTTCCCAGGTCTAAATCCACCGATCACAGGTAAGTGCAACGATAATTGTTCACGCGTCGTTAAGCGTGCCCAAGGCGAATGCATTTTCGGCAAAAATAGTTTTAGACCAAAATTCGTGTCGTCCGTCGGTGCAAGAAACCGCAGCTGCCATCTGTTGGTCGATATAATTTTCCCTTACGCACTCGAATGAAAATGCACTCTTCATAGATTGCGCACAAGTGCATCAATGGCACTTGCGTATCGTTCACAATCGTTCACGATCGTGGCAGCTGCGCTCTCGATGCACGAGAAGGTTCAGTGCAAACCCTCGGGAGGGATTAATGCGATACTATGGGGTTTGTTATACCTATCCACAAGGGAGATCCCACCCTACGACCAAGCCCCCTACATATTTTTAAATCCATACCCATTTCCACTTATGGGCATACACAATGAAGCTCTCGGATATACACGGAAACCCACTGTACCCCGCTACATGCTGTAACGACTTCGCTGCCGCGTGAAATGCCACAACGAATGATCCGATTTCTTGCTTTATAATTACTGTTCTTTTCAAATAAGAACAATTGTGATTCATTTTTCTTTAATGTTTCTACCAGAGCCATACCCAAGTAGGATTTGCCGATCTACCGGAAACTGATCGGCCCAATGTCGATATAACAATTCTTGCCTTCTTTGTCGTAGATCTACATGGCAGAATATAAATCGACCCATCCTCAAGGTGCCGATTTAAAACCAATCTTCAAACTGATATTAATTCCCCAAATATTAGTATGCACATGTTGGGTCGACCTTTGAACTCTCCCATCGATCCGCTAATATATAGTTTGTTGACCCTTGGCTACACTGACGAAACTCGAGAAAAACGGCTGCTACGGCAGCGGGGTACATTTGTACCCCGTCGATGTAGTTAAGGGTTCAAAGCTAGGCCGAACGTCAACCTACCATTTATTAACCGATCCTCGATTCGCCAATATCGGTGAATTCGTGGGGCCATCATTTGTCGATCTTTGGTTTGCCAATGTTAAACCGATCATCAGACCACCATTGACCAGCCAGTCATTGGTTTGCCAATACAGCCGCCGCACCTCAGTATCTGTCCTGTGGGACCCTGTCTGAACTCAATCGCAGTCCGGTTCCATATATTAGTCTTTGCCTTCACGAAAGTGTCGTACGAGTGCGTAACGAGAACCCCGTGTCTTAATTTACGTACCTAACCCAACCTCCACTCTCCTCGTTAGAAAAATCTCGAAGCAAATCTAGTATAGAGACGAGTGTTACTACATCAAATTCTCGTAAGCCGCTTTTTCCAAGTGATCACGAAGGTCTAATTGATCACGTAGAAGCTGCGGAAAAAATTGGTGCGCCTCTTGTTAAATTCGTTTCTACAGCCCTGCAAAAGAATTTTCATTGGTCGAAAATAATCTCGTGACCTTCGGACAGGGACTGAAATTTGTGATCGGGACAGGGACTGAGGTTTGATTGTACAAATCTAATATTTGATCGAACCCTGGGTTTGCATTGAAGACCAACCCTTGGCTTAGACAGGAACCCAAGAATGGGCTGATGTCGAATACCAATTCTCGGCCTCAACACCTAACCCAATCCGGAGTAGAAATTGAGGTCGCTAATCCAACTAAATCCACCAGTGACTAGAAGACTTAGCTAACAATGGTTACCATGGCAATATAGAAATTTTTGGTACAAATTATTTTCGGACTTTAGCTTACGGACTACTCAGCCAAATATTACTTTTACATGGTTGCAATATACTGCACCTCAAAGTGAAAATAAATTAATGTAAAGAATTGCGGTTGATGGGACTATATCCCAGCCTTGCAGTTCGCCTTTGCGATCTATAACCTGTATCAATTTCTTTTTAGCTATTTTGTACCAAGTTTTTTTTTTTTTCGCCAACTCACTCGACCAAGTTAACGAGCCAATATACGAGGAGACTGAGAGTGGGAGAGAGAAGAGTGACATGCCTCACCGGAATTGACGTCTGGGTTCCCTCCAGTGTAGAATATTAGAGCGAAAAGATCGTGGAAAATGGATTCGGTCTCCCTGAAAGCCTTAGGAAAGCCCTATGGGTTCTTACGAGTCCTATAGGACCCTATCAACTTGTTACGAGTACTAGCGCGTCCCTTTTACTCTCTCACGGTCTCCTATCTTCCACAGCCTAGTAGCACAGCCTTTTCCCTCCAGCCTTATGTACCTCCGGTATCTCTTCCCATCTCATTCTGTTCGTAGCTACACCACCCTCGAGTTGTGTGTTAGCCAGCCCCTAGAAACACACGGGAGACGCGTGAAATATGGTTAATCTAGCAAAAGATATTAGGTTTGCTCTTGGATTAGGGTTCTTGCTGTGGAGACCGCTTTCCGTTCCAACCTAACCTCACGGGGGATGACGATGATTATCAAACAGTTTTATTCTCGATATACACGTGTATAACGATGTAAGAGATCGATGAAATCGTCGAAAGACAGTAAAATCGTTCTGCAGGTAGGTATACGATAAGACAGGCGAATTTTCATTGACGAGTACGCGAATGGAGATTACGTATGATATTCAATGACGCACATGTGTACAGTAATTTGACATTTCATGGTGTCATTATTAATGACGCAGAAATATTAAATATTTTATATGAAATTTTC